AATACAGTAGGTGGAACTATAGAGCTACACACTCCTGTACAGTAGGTGGCGGTATGCACCTGTAAGCTCTTGCAATCTCTCAATCTAACAAAAAGATGTAGTTTCGTTTTGTTTTCGTTAGAAATTATATATATGTTTATTAAGTAGATAGTCCATCACGAACCACACCCCATAGCAGTAAGTAGTGGTAATGCTACTAAATGTTTGTTGCCAACCACCAATAAATCCAAGAAGAAGAAAAATCTAACGAAGAAGAAGAAGGGGATGACCCGGAAATAAATCATTCTGGGGTGTTTTTGCTGCGACACACGTGCAGCTCTGTCCAACATGGCTGCCTGCAGTGTGGAGGAGCTCTTAGCCAAAGCTGAACAAGAAGAGGCTGAAAAACTAAAAAGTATCTCCGTCGAGAAGGAGCTGGATCTGGAGTTTGACGTTGGGAACCTCCTAGCTTGTGACAAAAACCGCATTGAGTCCAGAGACTTTAGGGAGAGGGGGAAAGAGGACTTCCTCCGATCATTGGCCCGGGACAACACGCAGCTTCTCATCAACGAAATATGGAAGCTACCCACGGAGAGGAACGAGGAGGTCCTGGTGGCCAAACTACCGGAGCAGACCACCCGACTGCCCAGAGAGAAGCCCCCACCGAAGCCCAGACCCCCAACCAGGTGGGAACAGTTCGCCAAGCTCAAAGGTATTCAGAAGAAGAAGAAGACTAATCTGGTTTGGGATGAAACTGCCAAGGAGTGGAGGAGGCGCTGGGGCTACAAACGGGCCAACGATGACACCAAGGAATGGCTGATCGAGGTCCCGGGCTCCTCAGACCCCAACGAGGACCAGTTCGCTAAACGGAACAAGGTCAAGAAGGAGCGCGTGGCCAAAAACGAGTTTAACCGGCTGAAAAACATCGCCAGAGCGATGAAAATCAAAACTCCCGGAGTGGGGCTGCTTCCCAAAGCGCAACAGTCTAAAGACGAGCTGCTCAAAGCCGTGAGCGTGGCTAAGACTTCCACGGCGTCCGTGGGGAGGTTCCAGGACTCCCTGCCCAAAGAGAAACCCCCCAAGAACTCAGGCAAGAAGAGGAAGTTCGACCCCCTGATCGGAGACTTCTCCAGCGAGAAGCAGAAGCAGCTGGAGCTGCTGCAGGTGATGGGCAACAAGACGCCCAAGCTGGACCTCACCAAGGCTGTGAACACACAGATGAGGGAGGAGGACAGAGAGGAGGCTGCAGCCAGGAGGAGGAAGGGGCGCAAAATGCCAGGGAAGGGGGGCAAAGGAAAGGGAGGAAAAGCTGGAGGAGGGAAGGGGGGCAAAGGAAAAGGAGGAAAAGCTGGAGGAGGGAAGAGAAGAGGAAAACCAGGGAAGCAGTGAAGCCTTTGATGTCCTGCTTCATCTGGACATTTCTGCCTCAAACAGAACTGATCCACCGATGTGCCCTGTGTGTGATTAAAGTCATGGACTCTTGATGACAGAACTTAATGTAAAAAATACACAATATTACAGCTTGAGTGTTCAATTTCTTCTGAGCATACTCAAACCATCAAAGATTGATCAACTACTTTGTAATATAAATAACATTATTGCAGCTAAATTGATTTATTTCAAGTATTTTGTTTCCTTACAACAAACCATATATATAATATCCTAGCCTGTATGTTGCAAACCATGATACGACCACCACTGAGGTCTGACAAGTTATGTAAATAAAGGGTGCTATGAAATGGATTTATATACTGTTGGTTATTTTGAAAGAATATTACGTTTACTATTTTCTGCAGAAAAGATATAAAACGGCTGTAGTTCTGGAATTGGTTTTGACCAATTGTTTTAAGAATAAATTATTTTATCCGGTCACATTTTCATGATTAAAAACTTTATACATGAATTGTTTTTTTTTTTTTTTTAAAGGCAGATATTAATTGAACTTGTGAAAATTTGCTGATCTGTTTATTCTACTTTATTTTTTAAATTAAAGTGAATTTTAAGCAGATAAGGTATAATATCCTCTTAAAAGAATCCTTTTCAACCACTGGCTCTGCAGCACCATCTAGTGATGGTTGGTGGCTTCTCTACTGATGATGCAAACTAGTCAGATACAAATGTGAAAGAACAGCAGTGGTGGATAAAGTACTCAACTGTAGTACTTGAGTTAAAGTATTGATACTTATAATGAAATCTTAGTCAACTAGAAGTAAATGTTAGTAAAATATCTACTCAAGTTAAAATGTTGAAGTACCCACTTTTGAAAATACTTAAGTATTCAAAAATGCAAATTAAAATTTTCTAATATCGCTGTAACTTTCAGAGTAATTTTAACTTTCAGAAATCACCTGATATATTAATAGAAAAAATCCTACACCACCTGTAAAGAGCTTCAGTATAAAAATGCCACAAAAAATGACAGCTATGTTGATTACTTTAAAAACAAGAGAGTCTTGATTCTCTTCACACTGATTATGGAATAGCTATTTAAGGTTGAATTACTATTACAACAAAGAATCTGAAACTGATATGAGAACACGTCCTATTGAACAACTTGGCCAATGGCAACGACTAATGTCCAGTACTCGGAAATGGGATGGCATCCCCCTTCTTAAAAAAAAATCTTTAAAATCATCCCCCTTCTTAAATGACCATCCCCTGTGACTTTTTATTACTGAATGTGGAAAATGTCTACTATATATTAACAGTAATAGAAATAATATTGCCCTTTAAAAATTTGGTGGGCTTTGGGCTTATGAGGAGCCTGAGCAAAAAGAAAAATAAAATCAAAGGAGTGGCCTACCCTGACTATGAAGCTGATCTCAGTGAGAACTATGTAGGGGCAGTGATAGCCATGCCAGTCCAGGAACTCACTGCAGTTCAACTATTAGGTGCCTTGGTGAAGGTCAATGACCGGCATACCTGACATGTAACAACCGCACCATGCATAGTGCCTTAAGTTAATAGACTAAATTAATTAGGCTATGTATGCTTCCAAAAGAAAAAAAAATCCACCCCCCCCCCCTTTTTTTTTTACATTTAGGCTACTGCTAACGCCTTAATAAACTGTTTAAACTACATATGAGTTTCTCATATGTGTGCAATATGAGAAACTCAGGGCAGATATGTCAATTTCATGCAAATCTCTATAACGGTGGTGTCCAAATTCAGTCCTAAGGACTGCGATCTGCCATACTGAAATTGCATTTCAAGAAAGAAAAACAGCAGAAGCTGATTACAAAGCTAGCAGCTTCCTCTAAAAAATTACTCAAGTAAAGATACTCAAAAAAAGTAGCTAAGTACAGTAATCGAGTAAATTTACTTTGTTACATTCACTAATGAACAGTGGCCCTAAATAAAGCTTGGATATATATATATATTGGATATATATATATATATATATATATATATATATATATATATATATATATATATATATATATATATATATATATATATATATATATATATATATATATATATCTTAAAATTAGAACATAGAACAAAAATGAGAACATCGCTGCAATAAGTTGGTAAGATAAACAACTAGATGCTGCAAAAGACTTGAACCAATAGACCAGTTCTAAACTACAGCCAGAGAGCCACAATAAAATGGTGCTGTAGTGGCCTAGTTAAAGTCCAGACTCAATAGAAACCTGACAGACACTTGCTGTCCAATCTGACTAAGCTGGAGGTATTTACTAAAAAGTAATAAGCAGAAATTCTAATTTCTACAGGTGTGATTGAGACATACTCCAAACAATTGTACTTAAGCCAAAAAGGTTTTTTTTAATACAGAAAGTGGTAAATTTCCAATAATGCACCCCTCTCTAGGTTCAAATCTTTATAAAATACATAGAGGTCTGTTGTTGAAATGTGACATAATATATTCACTTAACAGAATTCAAATTTCCATTTGAAGATAAGACATATCAATTGTAATATAAACTGATAGTTGGGGCTAATAAAGGAGCTAGAAAAGACAAACGCTCTCATAGCTTTTTTTCTGATTGACTTTGCTGTTTCAGGATATGTAAAGGCTTTGGGTTTCATGCCCAGACTGGGAACATCATGCTGTATTAGAAGCAGTGAGGAACGTGACTGACAGTTCATTAAGCCAGGATGTGTGCTCACAGACAATATGAACCAATAAGCTACCCCTTAGACGAGAGCAGTGCTCTTTAATTGAGGTTTTTGTGCATTTTTGAAAGTGAGTTGTCTTGCAGCCATTGTTAGTTTTTCCCCCACTGACACATTTTTTTATTATCACACCCTAATGATGGCTCTGGATGAATGATCGCACCTGATTGTAAACGATCAATGCTTTTTAATTGCTGACACAAGCACAAGGCGGTGCAGGAGAGGGGAGGTGGAGCAGCCATCTGTTGAGCAGCCCATCACCAAGCTTGCATTGGTCTTTGTCTCTGCTCAGTCATGCCACAGGAAAGTGGGACGCAGTCGATAACTCTCTATTAGTCAAGCCCTGTTTTAATTAAATGATTCATGGATCGTCTCTGCTCTGCAACAGTAATGTGCTCAAAGAAAAACAAATATATTCTTAAAATACACATTTAAATAATTCATAAAAAACTTCTTAGTGTCTGTTCCTTCCTTCCTTCCTTCCTTCCTTCCTTCCTTCCTTCCTTCCTTCCTTCCTTCCTTCCTTCCTTCCTTCCTTCCTTCCTTATTTTTTTCCTTGTTTTTTATTACATGTATTTCCTCCTTTCATATGTCCTGTTATATTTCTTCCTTTATGTTGTTTCTTTATGCCTAACTTTATCTTTCCTCATTTCATATTACCTTCCTTAATGGTACCTTGAAATCTTTCTTCTTTTTGAATTCACCTTCAAAGCCCCCCTTTGCAGTAGAAACATCTACAATGCTCTCATGTCTGACTTCTGTATGTGTTAAAATTGAATAAGAACTCTGAAAATGATTTCTGCAGCATAACTAATATAGCGAAGTGTTGTTTTATTTGTGCTCTGCATGTTTGTGTAAAACTCCCCTGTGTGAAGGAAGGAAGCTCAAGGCGGTGCTGCAGTGGATTAGCTGGCTGCATTTATTTAGAGCGCAGGAGCTTCTGCTGGGGTCAGATCTGCAAGAATGCAGCACATCTACATGCAGAGCAATGAACATTTTGAGGTCTTCACCACTGTCTTGGCTCCACAAGGTGAGTGGAAGCACATCTGCAGTGAAGTCTGGTTTAGCATGACATTATTCAGTGTTACTGTTAGTTCAGAATGAGCTGATGCTTTGCTTTCTGTCTCGGTTGACTTGATAAGTCAGCTACAGGATGCCTCTGCAGATTTATTTAACTATTTTTTTGCCTGTTTTCTCTCCTCTTTTAAACTGAACAGCAGGAAGAAATAGATACAAAGCAGAAGCTGAAAAGGCAAGTTAATCTTTTTTTCTTTGCCCAAACAGCCCTTAAAAAATAGATGCTCTGAGTTTCTGGAATAATATATGTAAAAACTCACATCAGTAGGTTTTTGGTTAATCTTTCTTAAAGTATATTAACTCCTCTGACCCTAATGCATCATTATAGTGAGTTATATATTGAAGACTAGATCCCCACTGAAGGTTTCTATTTTACTGCAGTTAATCCCTGAGCTTTGACACATAATCCTCTTCATTCACACTGTCCTGCCTGTAGGTTGAGCTCATTAACAGCACCATCACCCACTGTTTCAGTTCTTAAACCTAATGTTTTATTTATCTAGAAAACAATCTAGAATTTTCTCTCCTATTTAAAAGAAAATCAATTACAGTTCCCTCTGTGTCCGCTAGATGGTGGTGGTGCACAGCTACAGGCCCCACTGGCCAGATGAGCTGTTCCTAGCTCCAGGTGACGTCATCATGGTGGTATCCAAGCATGAGGAGGGGAGGTGGTTTGGGCGGCTGCAGGAGGGCCAGTGGGGATACTTCCCTGCTTCATGTGTGATGGAGCTGGGCCAGGTTGGTTGGCTTCATCAGTGAAGCTCCTCCTGTTTAACACTGAGGGCAAATTCAAGTATTTACACCACTTAGATTTATTTCACATTTTTTCAAGGCATAGCTTTGAATTTTTTTTTAAACCAATTTAAGTATATATCTTGTAAAATAGCCTAAATATGTAATCTTTTGAGTTTTTCTGCCAGCTTAGTTCCAGAGATTAATATATTTGACAAATGCTAAAAAGAGCCAAGATTGGTCAGAAAGCTTTAACATTTGATATAAAAAGATTATCCCAACTGAGCTATTGAGGTTCATGCTGTTAGTTGCAGCATAATTTATTTGGGGGCGTCAGGGTAAAGGAGTCTGGAAGGGATTTCCCCCCTTAACTCTTTTTCTAACCGCTTTAAAAACTATGCATTATGTCCTCTCACTTTTGCATTAGACTTAGACTTAACTTTATTAATGAAATCTGAAATCTGAAAAAAAAAATACATACTTAAATATGTGGTTGTAAGTTGAACACTTTAACAAAGTTCAAGATAAGTGAAATTTATGACTAAATGCGTGTCAATTGTCAGGGTTCCTCTTGTACCCGAAGAAAGAAAATAAAGCAAAATTTGATCCGAAGCAGGGATTTCTGAGGGTTCTGGTGTAGGACTCTGTTTATTTAAAAAAAAGAAAAAGGGCAAGAGTGGGAATCCTTAGACGATTTCCAAAATAATCAAAAAATATATGTAAATGTCATTATCCATCATTACTATTTTTCCTTTCTTCAGTCAAACCTGCCGACTAAAGCCCTGCAGAGAAGCTTATCCTTGAGGGTGACATCAGCGGACAGTAAGCAAAGCAGGTACGGGATAGAGGGTTAAACCCTACAAGCTATCATATCAACAATTGCACGCATCCCCCACCTACAAGTCAGTATCCAGCAGATGTTCCCCACATCCCCCAATGTCCAGATCCGATCCTGTTGCTCTGTCCCCCCTGAACAGGTGGCCCCTCTCTCCTCTCATTAGATAACAAAGCACGCTGCATGCCAAGCCCCTTAAACACACACAAACACATGCACAGACGCCCCTCCTATTGGAGGACGAAGAGGGAAGCGTAGTCGACTGTGGGGGACATTTTTTCTCTTAAAGCTTGTTTTTTAATCAAAGTTATCAATCCACTGATAGATATACATAGGAGTAAGATATGCTGTTTCTGAAAATGTCTGCAAAGCTCTTTACAAGTCGTTTGCACATGTTCTTGTCCCTCTTGTCCCCTGGCAGCTTAATTTAGGTCACAGGGAATAAACAGGTCCTTTGTGTTTATTTCCTCTTTGACCCCCAGTGGACATGTCCTACAGGCGTTGAGGAGGGGAAGCAGCAGAGAAGGAGGCGAAGGAACAGGGCTGGATTGGAGACAGGTTAAGCGTGAGGGCCCCTTCCTGGAGCGGAGGCCCCAAAGCCCTCCGCCTGAATCCATGGCCTCCCAACCTAAGATCCGCAGATCTTCAAGTTTGCTCCACAGGATCTTGTCCAAGTGCCGGAGAAAGAGTGAATGCGAAGGGGCCGCCAATGGGGCCTTCGAGGGTGACTAAGGAGGGGCCTGCCTTTGTCTTACAGGAGAGGAGATGACTTTCTAGGAGGTGTTTTTGAGATTACACGGGATTCTAAAAAACAGTCTAATCCCCCTTTTCTGGGTCTAAAGTTGACTTTTCTTGCCTTAGCTCAATTTCAACAAACAAGCAAGAGAAAAACTGAAAGTAAACAACAAAGTAAACAGCTATTGTGCTGCACTTTATATATAAAGGAAAATAGCAATCATTTGGCACGAAGCAGTAAGCACCACAAGGAAAGCTTAATTAAAAAAATTATTCTCTTCCTTTAGCAGCTTTGCAAATCAGATTGCAATTTGATCTGGACTTTGACAGGAACCATCATCACTAAAAACCCTAACTTTGATCCAAACCAAGGCTTCACTAATTCAGGATAATGTAATTTTTACCTACATTTGCAATGATGGGGCTATTATTTTTAAGTTTTCCTTTATCACCCTAGTCCAAACTACTGTTTCTAAGCTTTAGCAACTCCACAAACAAGAAACTACCACAGTTACAGGCACTGTGTACCTTAAAACATATGAAAAAAAGCAACCCCACAGCATGCTGCTACCACCACTGTGTTTTACAATTGGTGGCGGATGGGGATATCATTAGGATCTGCTTTATTTGTTCTTCCTGCACCGGATTTTTCGCTGTAGGTCAGAGAAACCAAACTTTAACCAGAGTGGTGTCTTCCAAACATCTCGTTATGAAAGAGCAATGGAGAAAAAGACATACGCCTCGCCATCCCTGTTCTTTTTAAAGGGAACGCCGTATGATCCTGCCTCAAACACATCTGAGTCAAAATTAGGAGCAAAGTAATGATTGAAAACTGAAACCTCATTTGATGCCTTCTACATGAAGGGTAAATGGTAGATATCCCCGATCTTCTAGTTTTCTGGTGCTTTCTTGCGGTAAAACTGTCTGTTGAATCTGGAGCTGTTGTCCTGCTTTACTTGTTTTCTCTCCAGATGCCTTTTTTCAGGGTTTTGATAAATCCCTCCCCTCCCTGTAAGGCTCTGGTAGTAAAATCTATTTTTTTCTCTTTGTTCCTTTGACAATTAGAACATTAATAAACCAAAATGACTTATTTTATTTTACGCACTGAAACAGAAACCTAAAACAGGGAAGAAATGTTCAGTTTTTGTTTTAACATTAATCAAACAATATGTTTTAGAACATATTAAATCACAGTCACAGAAATCATTTTGCTTAAGTGTTATGGTAGGACATGTTTTGTTTGAGAAATTTATACTTGTTTTGCTGTTTTCTGCTATGTACACACACTTTTAAAAAATATTGCGTAAGAAATCACATGAATAAAAACCAGTAAACTCTCCTTGAATAACATATTGTAACTCAAATGGAAAAAGTCTCTGAACAAGATCCTATTTATTTTCCTTCAAACACAGAAAACCTCCCTTTTTTTCACATGAAATTACCCAGAAGCAAAGGAAGTGTGAGCCAGTTTTGCCGAAAGCCTTGCCAGAAGAGCAGGGATGGCGCCTGTTGTCCCGGCAACACAAAAAGCAGCTCTCAGAAGCTGCAAGTCTTCTTCTGTGGTGCTTCTCAAAATGTCCCTGCAGCTGTTTATCACACCTTCCGTCCAGAGTGGAAACAAACTGCAAACCTAACCCCAACCATGGCCTCTACATCCATACAGGAAACTCCTCCGCCCCTCGGCTCTGCAGGGTGTTTGATATTCTGTGTTGTATAATCTTTTATTGTTGGAGGCTGTGGGAGGCAGTCACTGTGGGGCCAGGATCTGGGAGGCAAGTCTAACAGGAAAGGGTGTAAGTTTCAAAGAGAGATAACTCTCCACTTATCTGATCTCGATCTCGCACACAAGGAAGTCTAAAATTTCAGAGAACTTTTTAAGGTTTTCAGATTTTTTCCTGTAACAACCACAAACAGAGCATCATGTGGTGGCATGTAATCATCAGGTGCAGGGATCTGTTGCATGCATATTTTTAAAAATTCTTAAAATGCATTTGTGATGTTCTCCTCTACCGCCTCAGTCAGAAATTTGCAGAACTAGCTTGCTGAATTTATCTGCAAATATTTTAGGGATTAAATTCCAGTTTTCATTTATATTTACATTTTTTTATTTTACTTGCTCTGTCTTTTAGAGTACATCAAAATCTCAGACATTGCAACCGACTTAGCATGTCTGTGAATATCAGCTTTATAAATGAATTGCTGCTCTGATTGTTTAGGGGTATTGTTTTAATGGAGGGGAAAACCTCTGCCTCAGTTTTAAAGCTCTAGTTGGGTCTTCTTTCAGGGTCATTTCATCCATCTTTTTTTTTTTTTTTATAAAACCTTACACCAGTTGTTTTCTATTTTTTAAGGTGTGTGGAGCTTTGTTTTCTACTATAAATGACATTTTACATGTTGGCTGTAAGTTCAGATGTGGTCTGCTCTGACCAGAGCGATTTCTTCCATGTCTGCTGGTTTGTGACAAACAGGACTGCAGCCAAATCCCTGGCCTGCATCTTGTGATCCTTTGTCTTTATGATGCTGTTGGTAACTATGAACAAATCAGCTGACTTTTAAAGCCATCTGGCTGCACTGAATGCCTTACAAAGTTATTTTTATTAAAACATGGTTAACCTTTCTGCACTAGGTGTCTGCCACACAGAACTTGAGGATTTATATAATTTTATTACATAATAAATTCCCATTACCTTTTTTTTTTTAGACAATTTTAACACATACCTATTAAATAAACCTTACAAAATACATATTAATTAATTTAACAAAGCTGACTTATTTGTTTAAAATTTATTGTTTAAATAGTTTAAAGGTAACCCTGATTATTATGCAATTCAGGAAACAAACTTTATAGATTTTAAATAAATACATTCAGTATTAATTTTTAGTAAGTATGCTTTATCAGTTTTAAATAATTAAACTTGAAAATCATGTATATTAAATAAATAGGCTATATTATAATAATGATTATCATTTGATGTTTATTTAGTAGGTTTTTGTTCAAATTATATAATAAAAAAAGCAAATGGAATAAATGACAGAAATCTTAAGATTTAGGAAAATATTTAAGTGTATAAAATCCTAAAATAATACATAAAAGTTTCTGTTAAGAATATATTTTCTACTTTCAAGTTTTCAGAGTAAGTTTTCTGTCCTTTCACTGTGAAACAAGATGCTTTCCCACAAGGTGAGATTTGTCAACTTCTGATAAATTCAAATGCATTTCAGCCTGGGCCAGTCTCACAGGGACTGCCGCGTACAGCAGTGGAAACTGTGACCTAATTTGGCCTGAAAGGACCTGATTTTAACACTTTTGAGAAAGCTGAGGAGTATCCCGCCTAAAAGGGCCGTCCTCTCCCTGCTGCTTTGTGTTGGGTGTCTGGTGGGGGGTGTGGAGCGAGGGAAAGGAGGGGTAACAGGTTGCCTGCCAGATGACTGCTCCGTCATCCCTATAATGGGCTCCCATCTGCTGTCTCGCACACACATAAAGCTGAAGTGTGTTCATGGGAGCTGGTGCACATACTTACAAATGTGTGTGTGTGTGCGTGGGTCTTTTAAGGCTTCCTTTCATTTCTTAATGTATTTCCAAATATAGCTTCCTGTGTGAAATCATTGGATATAATATATTCTAACTTCAGCTGCCGGATATGTCTATGAAATGAAATGCAGATAATTCAGGCTCTTAAAGATGCTTTCATTTTTTTTAAATAAAGGTTTTATTAAAAGCAGTACATATTTTAGCAAGTGAAAGATGCCAAATTGACTAATTGTACCTCAAGAATTGTGAACTATCTCTTTAAAGTTGAAGGACTGCTGGTCATATCCAGGCAGGACCAACAAACTTCCTGACATCTTTCAGCTTTGTTTTGTTCTCTCTGGGAAAAAAGACCCTCTGATCCTCCAATGACAGCACAGATAGATGAAGTGCTGTGTTTGTGCTGCCCATGTGTAAAATGTTGACATGCACGCGTGCTGCTGCTCCGCCTGCATAAAACAGGTTGTCATGTGTTCTGCTCCAGTGGAAGGAGGGAGGGGGGTGGGGTGAATGGGTCTGTATAACCAACAGCCTAAAGGACAAAGGACCCTGGGGGCATTAAGTCATGGCTGAGTGGGCCCCTTTAGGGCCAGCAGCTGACCCTGTGGTGAGGCGTCTTGTTCTGGTTGTGGGGGCCTCGTGTTCTTGGACCTCGGGCCAAGATGACGACATGCCCAAACATATACATACATCTTTAACCACTCTATTAGTTTCCATACCCCCACTTTTCCTGAGCGACGATATCCAAATAAATAAGTACAAGTATGGGTTCCATTCTCTCTTCAGCATTTGGCAAAAGCTTCAGGCAGTTTTCCACTCCTGCTGTGACCATGTCAGCAACCCTAAAGGATCCGGAAAAATCTCTATTACGTATGAAGCTCTTCTAATTCCAGCGAGAGGACTTGGCAGTGAAAGAAAGACCCAAACAGTGATGCAGCAGAGCATATTTATTTATTTTCTTCTATAAAACAAAGTACACGGTCAAAGACAGCTGGCAGGATATCTACGGCAACTTAGTTACGTCTTTAAGTCAAAATGCTACATTAAACAGCACGTGTTTAACAATCGTAATCCATCGAGCATGTTGCTACAGTAGTATACGACAGCTGCTGCTATCTTTTGCCTGTACCTTTTTTCCCTCTCAAAACCGGATTTGACATGGAGGGCAATTACCTTTAAAAAAACAAAAAAATTTAGAATGAATGGGTACAATTACAACACAAATCAACCAACCAGCAGGAACACAAAGCTAAACGGATTATACACATCTCAGAGAAATCACATGGATGACATTCTGCCACCTGTATCAAACCCTCCTGATCTTTCCCATTGATCTCTCTGACAAGATTCTCTTCTTATTCCCACCTAGGGGTTTGGATGGAGGATAATCCAGATTAGAGGCAATGTCGGATCCTCTAAATACTGATAATACAAGATTCAGAGCTGTAGTGGAGATTATATGAAGCTTCAGTATGGTTACAAAGCCATGCGCAAGGGTAACCTAATAAAAGACAACCAGTTTGGATCTATTTATATTTGCAGCTGGATTGTACCCTTCTAACCCAGAGTGTGAAAAAATAAATGCATGATCTGTAATTGCCATTTAGGGGGGGCTAGTGCCTAACTTTTTTTTGTATGCATGCAAGCTAGATCTAATCTAAGAGAAAAATGCAATATTAATTTTGGAAAAAATGTATAATTGTCTATCACTGCATACAGATGAAAACATAACAAAGATTAGAGGCATTTTGATTCTTTACAACCTCAATGATCAGCAGATTTCGGATCAGGAAAATGATCATCTAATTGGTTTGGAGCAGGATTCCTTAAGATTGCAAATTAATATTAAAGAACTGACGTTGTTTAAATAAGGTGAAGTTTTGGGGAATTTGTGAAGCTGGATTTTATTTGCAGGAGCAGCGATGTTCTTGGAATAAATAAAATGTTGGTTCAGGACTGAATTTGTCTTCAGTTTTAACAGAAAAGTTCACAAGTTCAAATTTGCTATGCAGACATAAATATAAAACAGAGTGAAACCAGCAGGAATAAACTTCTGTTTGCAAATATGCACTTTTAAAGCACCAACACTTAAAATGCAGATAAATAAGTAGCCGGCTTATACTGCTAATAGCATTATTCATTACTTCTGAGGAAAACAGAAGTGACCATAACACATAAATAGCAATTACAGATCACGGACAGAAAAACAAAAAGTGAGGAAATGAGGGTTGGTTTGGGAATGTCAGCAGGATAAAAGGCTTTTTGCAAGGTTTCTTTTTAAGTATTGTAGTTCAAATACACACTTCTGCAGCCGAACAGGAGAAACAAACGGTAAAAAAACCAAGCAGCAGATCCTTCATGTCAGCATTCTTTACAAACTAAACCACAC